TAAATAGTTAAGACCTAGGGTTCACTCGTCAAGGTTAGAGTATAGTATCATGCCCCGAAATTCGGTTAATTCAAAGTCTAGATTGCCTTTGATTATACCTTTTAATTATACTCAAAGTACGATAGAAAATACTATATATACACATATATATATATGTGGTTGTGTGTGCACAATATAATGGCTTTTCCATATATTCGGGCTAAACAGATTTTGACCATTAACTCTAGTGCATTTTCTCGACCGAGACAATGATTGAACCGAGTTGGCAACCTTGACAAATAGTTAAATTAATACCTACACCAATGGTTAATAGTATAGCTAAACCGGTTTCCGACCATTAACTCTTAACTCATTTTATTGACTGGGCCAATAACTTAAATCAAGTTGACCACCTTGAAAATGAGTGAAATTAATATCTTACACCAATGATTAATAATAATACATCTTAAGTGTGTGGATTTGCGGTTACTTTAATTCAACTCGTGACTCATTGGTTGAGTGATTAAAATGCTCGTATTAAATGTTGATTGTGTATTATGAACTTCATCAACCAAATTTGTGATAATAAAGACCGAAGTGAAGTTTAAAATATAATATGAAATTCCTTTAGGAGAGATTTAGTAGCTCATCTCTCCTATGGAGAGATGTTACAAATCTGCTCTTCAAAGGAGTAGCTCAAGCTAAATATTGCCACAGAGAGTGATGGCAACAATTATTGATATTATTATTAATCAAACAGGGAGTATCTCTGTTAACTAAAGATATTAATTAGTACAACCTCGACTATTAAATAATTCAACATTATTGATAATAGGGTTGCATCAACTATTCCCTGTTTGCGGTGGAATATTTGAGGTCTACCTCCACTAATTACACCAACACAGGTCTGCCCTGGATGTCAAAGAAAATAATTCAAGTAAAAGTTGGAGGTCGTAGAAGACATCAATTCCATCAGTTGTTTGTTGTTCATTGTCATTGACTCCCGACTTTTCGTAGTTCAATAAAGGATGAACTTTAATGGATCCTTTGTAGTTCATATTTCTTTCACCCCAATATAGTTAATTGTCACTTCCTCTGTTCTTGCCGAGCCAATAATCTGAAGTTTTCCTTTGATGGATAGGCTTTAGCTACTCCCTTTGAAGAGCAGATTTGTAACATCTCTCCATACACCGGTTAAGCGTTCAACGGTAATATCACTCAAATAGGGTAATAGATTTTTATATTGTAATAAATAGCGGTTGTCCATCAACTACAAAGGATCCATCAACGCCAATTGCATCACTTTGTAGTTTATTATTTCCATACACCATTAAATAAGCGTAAAATAATATGATAATATTGGTTCAAAGGGAGTATCACTCCGAAATAATTAGTATCACTCTGAACAATTATCAAGGATACTAATGGTTATTTAATAATTAGTAAAGGAATAGTTGATGGAAGTAGCTCAAAGGGAGTACACTCATTGTTCCATCACTCATAATTATTCGAAGGCTTGAGCTAAATATTTAGGAATTTGGACTCCGCCTGCAGTGCTATTAGCCCAATTGCAGCCCAAATATGTTAATGAGGCGTTGGACTCCAAAGCCCACCAATTAACAGAAACCAAAAACGGAGAGCATCTATTATATCCAAAGCCTGCCAATTAATAGCACCAAAACGCATCACTTCAATTAAACGTGCAGGACCATGAAATGTCTAATCTGCCCTTCCGTGAAGCTCTCAGGAGCCAGAGTTTTTGAATCCCTGCAAAAAAGCCCATGAATCTGCTTCATAAATTTTATAGATTATAAAATTAAAAACCTATCTGATCATATCGTCTCCTCCTATTGTTTATTCCTACTGCTCCACCTCCCTCCATCATCCTCTTGCTTGGATCCGTCAGACATATTTCTTTGCCTGCTACTGGAAAAGGTTCTGACAGAAGGACCTGAGCGGTTGCCATCGAACAACACTAGCGGATATGGATCTAGATCTGGAATCTTCATTGATGTCAAGGGATCGCTTGTTACTGTTGGCGGTGGTGTTAGAGGGATTTGATGGTAATTCTACGATGACCGTGAAGCCGGAGAGGCTTAATCGGAGCTGGGAGCCTTAAGATCCTTGTCGAAACTCGACTCGTGATGATTTTCAGACGACAACATGCACAAGGTGAATTAGATTGGAGGGAGCCCTCTTCAGTTTCCTCTTCCTCTATCAATGAATCGATGATTTTTGGAAAGTACATATTCTTGTTTCTCTATTTCCAGTCTTGCAATCTTACCTCCATGATGAATCAGTGGCTGAATCTACCGCCGCTGCCGATCAACTCTCCGGCCCCAAGCACCAATTTGATTTGCTTGATTTCACAGTCTAGGTAAAACCAAAGAAGGCTTCTTTCTATCCGTGAAATTCTTTCGGGAATTCTTTAAAAATGTAAGTCCCAAATTAAAACATCTAGCCAGATACATTAACCCCAAAGCCGCCGCGATAGAATTCCATAGGCTCTGTGATACAACCCTCCAAATACCAAGCTCCAAGTCGGAGCATTCAAACAGTGTGGGTTTATCAGAATCATTGAGAATCGAAGCCACAATGGATTTATTTAAGGGTATCTTCGATGGTTAACAGATTGAAAACCCTTTTTCAATTGCAACGGTCATTTCTCACTCCGACGACGTTTTAATCAGTTCAAAAGACGATTGATATTCGTTGCGTTTTGGAGACTTCAAGCCACATTGGAACGCCGTCGTTTCGCATTTCCTTTTCTGTTGTATTTTACCTTTCGCTGCAAGTATGTTGGTTTCCTTTCCAAGCTACAAAACAATGTTTGTAATGGAGCTTGTCTCCACCTGTTGGATCGGCCTATAAAAGGCAGAATGGTGAAATGAAAACACAAGCTTTTAGGGTTTCATTCTCTTTCTCTCCTACTTTGTTGTTATGGTATCAGAGCCTACAATGGAACCCTAGCCGCCACCCTTCTTCCTCCTAAACAATGGTTGATAATCAAGCCGATCATCAATAGGTTGAGCTCAAAATGCACAGCCTGCTCCACCACAACCACAAATTACCAATGACCCTTTGTCCGACCCTTTCTTTCTTCATGGTTCATACCAACCTGGAACTCTCATTGTTGGCGACCTTCTCTCCCCCACAAATTACAATGACTGGAGCAGAGCCATGCTCAATGCTCTTGCTGTCAAAAACAAGACTGATACCAGAACTAGCAGCTACAGATCCACGCCATGGAGCCTGGACAAGAAACAATGTCATGGTTCTTAGTTGGCTTCAACAAGCCACTTCTTCTGAGATCAGAAAAACTAATCTCCAGTAAGACAGCTTATGAAGCATGGCAAAGTTTGCAAACTCGTTATGGTTTAGGAGATCTCATTCGCATAGCTGAGCTTGAAGAGGCTTTATCTACTCTGCAGCAAGGTAATCAAACAGTGACAGAGTATTATGGTAGAGTAATTACTCTTAGAGATGAACTAGAGAATTACCAACCCCTCTTACCTTGTTCCTGCACACCAACAAGTCATATTGATTGTTCTGCCATGATAAAAGTTTTACAGTACCAAGAGACTAGCTATGTCATCAAATTCCTTCGTGGTTTAAATGAAAACTTTTCTGGGGTTAGAGCCCAAGTTTTGTTTGGTGATGAACTCCCAAACATCAACAGAGTCTTTCAACGCATGTTGCAGCATGAAAGACAGATTTATGGAACTCAATTTAGCAAAATGATTGCTTCCCTGCAAAATGAATGATCAGTTCTTGGTTTTCAACCTGGGAACATAAGGTTTTCTCAGGGCAACAAACCTCCTTATTGCACTTTCTGCAAAAGAGAGGGACATACTGAAGATACCTGTCTTCAGAAACATGGTTGGCTTCCTAGGATGTCCAAACCATCCATTTCCAACACAAGTCTACCAATCATCTAAAATCACTACAAAAGAAAAGGACATTCTGAGGATAAATGCTTCCAGATCATGGTTATCCTCCTAATTTTGTTCCTAGAAATCCCTCTTCTGAGCCAGACCTTCAGCAAACTTGTCTAGTGCTTCTTCTTCAAGTGATGAAGTGAAACTTAGTCGTTCAGACTATGACAAACTGATGAACATGATGAATGCTCAAAGGGGTCCTACTTCTTTCTCTGCTGCTTCTTATGTCACTCAGAAAGGTATTCTTCCTTCCCCACCTCTTTCACTACCTATTCTGAATGCATATTCTTCAATGCAACCAAAATGGATAGTTGACACAGGAGCTTCAGTTCATATAGTTTGCTCCTTGGATTATCTTCACAATCCAAAACCCTTATCCCACATATTCATCACTCTTCCTACTGGAGAACAAATTCAAGCCACACATTCAGGCACAGCAATTTGCAATGAAGACTTGGTTCTCTATGATGCCTTGTTTGTTCCCCATTTCACTTTCAACCTGATTTCAGTTAGAAGACTCACCTCCCATAACTCCTTATGCTTAACCTTTCATTCAAACACTTGTCTTATACAAGATCTACAACAGACGAGAGTGATTGGTTCTGCTAGTCTCAGGAATTGTCTTTACTATCTTCAAGCTTCTCTTTTTCCAAAGCTGGTTTCTGCTGCTTCCACCTCCACCTTTGACTTATGGCATTTTAGAAGGACATGCCTCCCATTCTGAAATTACATTTCTCAATCAATTCTTTACCTCCATTACCACTCACAAGGATCAACCCTATGTTGTATGTCATTTTGCCAAGCAGAAAGACTACCATTCCCTACCAGTCATTCTGTAACTCACTTTCCTTTTGAACTTCTACATGTAGACATTTGGGGACCAAATCCAGTTCCCACATATGATGGTTACTAGTTGGTGTCCGGCCCGTTGGCCGGGTGTCTATGCTCTGTGGGCGTTGTTCTAAATTGATTGGTCTAGGCACCTTGGTTCGTGGTTTAGTGTAGTGTTTTCTGTTCGGAACGTAGATGTTGTGGAGGGCATGTGGTGGTCTTAGTGAATTGTAGTGTGGTCTCATTTTTTTATATTCAACCTTTACTTTATTTATATGAAAATATGGTCATTGTAGTCTTAGGCTAAAATTGAGCAAAGAAAGATGTTTCATTAACAACGATGACGGGAAGTTATAGGAACTTTATTATTTATATGTAGTATTCTGGCCATTGTTTTATTGTAATGCTGTTTTTATTTAGATATTGTAGAGTGTCATCTACTTGGAATACAGCACGAAAGCGGTAACTACTAAGCAAGCATATTCATCAATCTTCATCATCAGAGATGATAACACGTGGCTTCTTTTTGGTTTGGATGCTGTCCGGTTCTGTAGAATCTGGGTTTGCCTCGTCGATGTCTTTTGGGTCATTCCCTCTTGTTGAGTTCTCACCTGTAATGTTTGAGCTGGTTCCTTGATTGGCACCTGTTATGTTGGAGCTGCTTCCTTCATTGGTTGTTTTTTGTGGCACTTTTCCCTGCTTTTGCATTTCAGAAAAAGAGCAATTAGTATTGTGGTATTCTGTTTGTATTTTGTTTGTAGAATTACAAAATATGGATATATATGTGTGTCTAAATGTGGCACTATATAGAATGGTGTGTCGGTGGTGAAATATCTACGATCAAGGATTGGTGAAATAACTTAATTGCAAATAGTATTTTTAAACTTTTGTTATTTAGTACTCTTCTTTGTATAGATGCGTAGGTACTAATACGGGAAGTAGGTTAGTTTGTTATACTTACTTGGATTGGTGTATCAGTGATGTTGATGACAGTATACTCAGTTTTGGGGTGTGTGTAATTGAAGTTGGTGAGCCTTATGTGGAACTTCAACTGCATGTTGACAACTTGCAGCAAAATGCTTGGCAGTTGGTCCTTCTCATATGTACTCGTGTTGCAGAGTTTCTCAGCTTCGATGCCAAAGAAGCGATGGGCTGCACGATCTAGAATGATGAAATCAGCCCGGCCGGTGTTGTCCTTCACAATGAGATGGAATCGATACCTGATTGAATTAATAATATGAGAATCAATGTATCACGTGTGATGTATTTTTGTGTGTGTGTGATGATATGTGGTTGGTGTCTTACGTACCTCTCTATGGCTTTGGTATGAATGGCCTGACACTCTGTGCATGAGTATTCGGGCATGTCCGGTTCCACTTTGATTGGGCACGTAGCACATCCCATGTAAAACCATTTGGGTTTTATGCCGAGCACTGTACCGCGGACTGAGAAGACTTGGTTCTGTATTTATAACAGGCTGTTAGTTTATTGAATTAAGCAATGACAATATTATATATGTAATGTTTTTGTGCTTTTACCATATTGTTTTCCATAGCTTCCAATGAGGCCAGGTCTTTTATGTTGATGGCAGGAATTTCAGGTGGTTGGTTTTGTGGAATAAGAGCAGGTACTTCAATTCCATGGTTCCTTGGTATCAAAATTTCTATGTAAGTGTGCATGAAGATTGAGGTTGCTATGTTTATTACGAATATATAAAGGAAAATATGATGTGTACCTATTTCGAAGTGCAATGACTTCTGGAATGTCCATGTTTGCATACAGTTTTGTTGCTCCTGTAGCTGACAGAGTATCTTCACCTGTTGAATGTTGGTGGTGTTAACATTATCAAGATGCCCATGGAGACTCGTTTGATGGTAGCATTAAAAATTACCTTGCTGTTTTTTCACCCAGACAGATGTGATGACCAAGACAATTTCTTCAGTTCCATTTGCATCGATGATTGCATCGAATTGGTCAATGACTCTGTCCCATATGGTGACTCTCACAGGAGGGCCTCTGAATAGAAATTATATGTTTCAAATTTTGTATTAAATATATGTAAACATTAGATAATTCAGAGAAGGGAGGTTATTACTCTGCTAGCTGGATATGAAGTTCCTTGCGGGATGTGGTCCGAATAAGAGAAGTTGTCTTGAGCTCCGAGTAGTTTTTTAAGTGGCCTACAGCATCTATGAGCAATAGTGGTTTCAATTGAGTGTGTGGATAAGTAGTTGAAGGTGGCCTATATGTTAAGTATAAGGTATGTAGATAGGTACCTATTAACCATCGATTCTGTCCACTTCTTGGTGCAATTTTATCATATTTGATGAAATTGAAACTGAATGCTGGAATTTCAGCAACAGCTGCAACGTGGGTCACCACTGTATCGGGTTCAAACTGAATGAATAGCTGATTGTTACATGGCCTGAAGTTTTCCTTGAGAACGGACACTTTGAAATCCCGAAAATCATAGATTTGCTGTTCTTGGAGGCGATTCTGGAACCTATGAATGCTTGAAGCTGGGATTTGGCACCATATATCTGTTCCCTGGTTATACAGAGTAATTATGATTAGATCTTCAAGTAACTGGTCTGGAATTTATTATGTTCTTGCATAAAATCGATAATGTACCTGTTCATCAATAAGTATCATATCCAAGTGTAGGCGCCTGCCATTGTTTGTGTTGATTGCTTCCCAAATTCGCGAAACTCTGCATCTGATTGTCCCGGTGAATCTGTTTTGCTGCTTGAGATTCTGGAGTACTTGGTGTGCCATTATTCGTCGAAGTTGAAAAGATGCGGTTGTGACATGGTGATGCTCTGAATATACTATTTATAGTTGATGATGTGTGGGGTCTGTTGAAGAGTTACGACTGTTCAGTGGTATGCAGCTGAAAATTTTCCGGCAACTATTGGAATAACGGCTGGAAAGTATAATAATACATCAATACAGATGTTATCTGCCACAACGGAAGGAGATGAGTGGATTGCGGTAGTGAGTAATAGTGATTGTTGAATTTAAGAGGGCGAATAAATCAATTTAGAGGCGCAGTTTACCTTCGTATTCCCCTGTCCGCATCTTAATTGATTGGCACACAGCTTTTGGAAACAAAACCCGACTGGCCTTAAAATCCAGCTACCTGCAGCAGCTCCAGGAACCGAAACGGCAGGCCCTTCAATCCGGTAACCTCTGGCTGGAATGGTAGTACGGCAGGAGCTCTTGGAACGTAAAAGCCACGGTGAAAAATCCGGTCTACTGCAGTAATTGCAATTAAGAGTGTGCAGGTGCGGGTTGGGAATGATAATGCTGATGCGGCGCCGCCGTCTTCCCTCAGCTTTGCCGAGGGGAGTGGGTAACGGGAGGGTTTTGGGAATAGAGTAACTAATGCGGGCCAATTGTGGATTAGAAATGGGCCACTATAATTCATCAAAAACGAAAATGGGCCACTATATTTTCGGAAGAGGTCCTGTGTGTTTCAAAACCTATTGAGCAATAATTTATTTCTTTCATTTGATTTTAGTTTGAAAATGTTGGCACGTCATGTATTCTGAGTTTATGAAGATATATGTAGAAGTTAATTAAGATAAGTTAAGTAAGATGTATTCTGAGCAATAATTTATTTCCTTTATTCACATAGTTTTAATTGTGGAACTGTAGTCATATCAAGATTCATTGTAGCTAAACTCTTGCATACGTTACACAAAAAAAAAAAAAAACTCTTGATCATGCAAGATTATTTGGGTTAAAGTTTTATTTTTCATTTTTTTTACAGTATTAGTTTTCACTCTAGATGTTCACGATTCTAATTGGAGGGTGGACTTTTCCTTCCCATGCACATCCCTTCAACCGCATGTAAAATTAATAATTAAAAACTCAAAAAATTTAATTTGTAGAATGTCTATTGTTATAAGTATATTTTGTCCACCCTGTGTGTTAAGTATTAGACATTTAGAATCAAGAATGAGATGATTATTTCATTTGGGACCAAATCATATTATTATATTCTGTTTTAGATGTTTTGCTATAACATTGTCAATTTTATTGTATAAAAAACATGTCAATCTAACCATGTCGAATAATTTAATGATCATTTGTAAAAGTGATGTTGTGTGCGATTAGGGGTGGAGTTAAGCGCTATTGAAGACTCTGAAAATTGAAACTTACAATCAGCGATAAAAACACAAAATTGTACTCAGGCGACCAAATCGCAAACTTCACCATCATCATATCGGCATTCTCCAGGGCAATTAATAGAAATTGTGTGAATGGGTTGGTACCTATTCATCTGAACCCTCAATTCGTCATGGAAAATAAAAACTATTAATTACTCTGCTTTTGAGTAGCTTCAATTTTTCACCCATGTTATATTGAAGAAACGATTCATTTTCACTGCTGTAATTCGACAGTCGTTCAATATTATAACAACACCAATTTTTTACCAGTATAATTACCAAATCAATTAAATGGCAGTTTGATTAATTTGATTGGATGGTTGAAAATGTATCGAATGAAGTTTTGTCTATATTTTTTTTGTTATATCGCATTGACGTAACTAAGAAACTAAATCATCGAAATAATATTAGGCGCCAATATGAAAATCAATTTTGCAACATTAAGATAAATAATCTTTAGCAAAATGACAAAGGTTCTAACATGAAGTTAAATTAGTTTACAAAACTGTACTTCAAGTCTTCAATGATGGAATTACGGTGAGCCACATAGTGGTTGTGGAAGATGGTGATGATGTTTGGTAGTGAGTTTGAAACTTGATGGAAGCCCCAATTATAACCTTCTCTTCTAGCTTCAAGTAAATGGCAAACAACCTGCAAATATGCTTAAAATATATAAAATTTGAATCCCGAAATGAAAGTAGTAGGCTATATGGTTTTATTCTTAACTGCAGTTTTGGCAACAAAAATATTTAAAGTGGGGAATAAGAAACATACAATCAGGAAATGCAATTTACATATAACCTAAAATAAAGAGGGACAAATACATAATATTTAAGTATGCGAAGAATGGGTGTAAAATAGTTTTCTTCGAGTACTTACGGGTTAATATTTAGTCCAATATCTCTCGATAGACTATATTTTGCATTGTGTGACGTTCCTCTCCTTGATCATCCAAGCTAAGAATCTTTACTCCATGTTTTGTCGTCACTCTAGAGAGAGCAACATAGAGTTGACCATGTGCAAATACCTGTTTCTGCAGGCACAATCCAACATGTTGAAGCGTCTGACCTTGGCTTTTGTTTATTGTCATTGCAAAACATAATGCTATTGGATATTGCCGCCTGATGAGTGTAAAATTCAAGCTCTTGTAATATGTCGTCAATGTCACTCTGCGGAGGAAAACTGTGCTACCAACATGTGTACCCATAAGAATTTCTACCTCTATAAACCAAGTACCCAATTTCTTGATTATCATCCTTGTTCCATTGCATAAACCAGTGCTCTGGTCCATATTTCTCAATAATATAACCGGACAACCTATCTTCAACTTCAATGCATGCTCAGGAAAATTTCCAATCTTTAAGGTATTTAGGAACTCCACTGAGTAATCCGACTCGGTGATATATTCATTCCCGGGATCTACCTCTATGGAGTCCGAGCTATAATATGACACTTCTTCACCAGGGAACATTTGTAGCACATATGAGTTTATCGCAGACACCATATTGTGGTGTGGTGCTAATATAGCTCTTCCGACCAAATATGTGTTATCACTTGCTGAAGCTTTAAGGTTTGGGTATGTCGAATTGACAATGTCTTCTATTGGGTCTAATATCCGCGGAACACCCAACTCTAGGGGAATGCATATATCAGATTCCCCAAAAATATCAGACTCTAGCCCATCTCCTATTTCGAGCAGCCATTTACTAAATTGAGATATCTGTTGAGCTTCTTCGGATGTACAATTTGATCTAGCTAATCTCATGTTTTCTTTCAACTTCAGAACTGTCAGAGTACCCCATAGATATGAATATTTAAGAGAAGAAGCAACAATTTGGGAACGCGTACCCTTGTCAATGATTGGCAAAGTCTGTCGAAAATCCCCCCCGAAAACCACTGTGACTCCTCCAAAAGGCACATCATCATTGTTTGGATATTTTATGGACAATATATCTCGTAATGATCGATCCAAAGCTTCAATAGAATGCTTGTGTGCCATTGTAGCCTCATCCCATATAATAAGAGAAGTCTGTTGAATTAATTCTGCTAACTCTGTGCCTTGTTGAATATAGCATGTTGCTGTGGAATTCGCATCTATGGGGATGTGGAATCTTGAATGAGCTGTTCTCCCTCCCTGCATTAACAAAGCTGCTATACCAGATGATGCCGCACATAGCACTATCTTTTTCTCAGAGCGCAGTTTTAGACACAGTAGTTGCCATAAGAACGTTTTACCTGTTCCACCAAATCCATCAACAAAAAAGGACCTTCCTTGGTTTTCATTCACCGAGAGTAGGATTTCATCGAAGGCCAGTTTCCGTTGGTGGTTCAATTTAGGATACAATTTCTGGAAATGCGTTTCACACTGCTCAATGTCGTAATCCAATTCCTCTGCAATCATTCTATTCTCAAGAGAAGCATTGTGGCCACTTGGAATTGGTAGTCCGGGGAAGTCGGCTAGAGTTTTCCAATGCTGTTGTAAAAGCTTGTCGATCTCAAGCAAGCAAAGGTCCTTCAAGTCAACATCGGATAGGATCAGATTTGGCATTTGTATTTTTTTCCGATGTGAGTGCAATAAATCATCGCACATCAGCTTCCAATTGTTTGCCCAAAAAGAAGCAATGTTAGAAACTCTGCAATGCATAAGGATAGTAACAAACAACTTCCTTAGTCTTTCTCCTGAAGCCCAAAATGCCACCTCTGCCATGCAATCATTCCACTCATTATCTTCTGCTAAAAGGCCATAAGCATAGCATGCTTCTTGAAAAGACTTACATGTGACTCCATTGATTGTTCTGATTTCTTCAAAGCTACGACAACCTTTGACCACATGGAGTAACATGCGCAGGTAGTATCGCTCATTCGCAGATGGTGAGCAGTAGTATAATCGTCCAATACATTTTCTCGATTTTCTCTTTTGCCACTTTCCATCATGTGCCTTCCATACGTAATGTTGTGGAAATTCCACAAATGTATACTGGCGAGCTTCTTCATAGGTTGAATTGGCTGACATCCATGCTAACAGCATCGAACATTGTGACTGTAGTAAATCTTTGATGTTCGAGTTCGCATTTGAGTGAACAGTGTCCTCGCCAGGTAGATGAAATAACATTCTCAAAACAGCAGGGAACTGATTGCATATATCAAACTTGAACAATCTTCAACAGGCTTCTCTGGCTGTTACATATCGACAGTCCAGGAAAGCTTTGACTTCGTCAATATGTCTTGCCCCTGCAGAACTGTCTGAAACTTGTGTATTTGTGTTTGATATCTGGTTCCCGACTAATGTTGATGTAGCTCGATCGGCGGGTTTGTTAATGTACTTGAATAAGTACTTTATGGCCCTGTAAAAGAAGGAGATTGCATTAGAGCTTTTATACGTCCTATGTTGAGTAAAGGGAAGCTATATCAAATATGTACATTTGTCATTGTCTTGAGTTGGTAGGTAACAATTTAAAAATTTAGAGTTAATAATATATGGTAGAAAAATTTATTTCAAACCAAGATTCGTTATTTTGTTAAAATTATATTTATATAATTAGTAGGAAGTGGATGTTAGAGTTAAAGTAGACGTTGTGAAAAATATATTTATTCTATACTATTATATAGCTGAATAAAGGGATGCTTGATCAAATATTTTTATTTTTTATTGTGCTAAGTGAGTTGGTAGGCAAGTCATACAAAAAATATTTAATAATAGATGGTAGAATTGCATACATGGGAAAGTAAATATATTTAAAATAAATATTCCTTATTTGGCCAAATAAATCTTAAAATTCTTGGAGAATTACAAATGTTATGTTTCAATGTTTCCAGAATATTAAATATGATCATTTGATAACATTGAGAATAATAAAAATTGTAAAATATGAACACACAACAAAATATAGCCATATGCATGGAGAAGTATGCTACGACAAACTTTACAAAGGAAAAAGAAGGAAAGACAAATAATGAGACTAAAATATCACTGAAAAATTTATATTTCTAGATATTGAACTAATTTAGAAGATTTATGTAAGCGGAAAAAACCTAAATGATTGATTTTCTTTTTTCAAATGGGCTGGAGTGTACTAAACAAAACGAATTATAGAAACTATTTCGGAAAGAATAAGGAGTCTATGAACAAAAGGAAATAGGATAACAATATCAACCAATTACGTAGGAATCAACGATAGGTAAAATGAGTTATACTTATAATAAAGTACAATACAGTAGAATAAGTACGTACCTTGAACGATTGCAGAACTCAACATTGATATGTGCACCAAAACGCAAGAGCAAATACCGATTATAAGGAACAACATAACGATTATCAACTTCGGTTCGATTAACTGTCACAGTTCCTGTGTCTTGCCGGCGATACTTAGCAAAACCATTTTCATCAATTGTAGTTTGAGTACAGAATTGTTTTGGAAAGTGTTTTGTGCAAATACCATTTTTCATGCATTGGGCATTTGGAGATGAAGGTCCACATGGACCATGTATCATGAAAGAGGTCACGGCATTATAACCTTCAGGATCAAGGTTCTGATCAGGAATTTCTGCGGAGATAATAGAGTCGATCTCTGTTGGGGTGGCAGGCTTATCTTCTGCAGCCAAGAAAACTAAGATATGAGCGTGTGGAAGTCCGCGCTTCTGGAACTCAATTGCATGAACATCTGTAGGGTGAGTCCAAAATTAGTATCAAGAGTTACATAGTAATTTATAAGAAGAAAAATTAACTATGAAAATCACTCACAACCAGAGGTCTTGCCGAAGATTTGTTTGTCTCTAATCTCAAGCATCAATTGTAGTAACTTTAGTCTAAAGACTCGGGCAATGACATCTGCTCGGTTGTAATCCTTGCGGCCGTTGGCTTTAATAATATCCACCATGAATTGAATCTCCGGCCAGTTAGCATTGCAGGTAAATGTAATAAACAAATCTGGATACCCAGTCCAACGACATATTGCCATAGCATCTTGGAAATTCTCATATTTGTACCGAGGGCTGCCTGTGTGTGTGGACGCCAAAATGATATGTTGCCCAGTCAACTTTAGATCTGTATCACCCCGTAGAAACGAATCAACCAATCCACTGTAATAATGGCGTCGCAATTTTGACTGATTATTTCTTATCCAGTCAAGGCGCTCAGCTTCCACCAAAGCATATGCATTGACTACATATTGTTGCAGCAGCTTACCGGCCAACAACAATGAATTCGATTGATCAAACCTTGTTTGTAGTCGGTAGCTATAGTAATCACATTGTGATACCATCTTAGGTTCTTTTTCATTATCCTCATCAAGCTCTGGACACTGTTCAATATTTGGATGCCATCCATCCTCTCCAAATGGAAATAATATTGGGTACTGTAAAGCCATCAAACTTGGATGATATAAGCTGATACGTTGTAGTTCTGAGCTTTGTTGTTGGACAATGATGTCCGGCTCAAATGAGTTCTGTCCAGCATCATCAACTATCAGTGCAGCAATTTCATTGCCAGTAGGCAATTCATATTCCCTTCCATCGCCAATCCTTCTTGCACATAGCTTCACATGTACTTGTTCAAGATCACGATCCATTATTCGATCTCTAGCTGAACGAAATGTTTGGACCAATATGTTATTGTTGTCGAGCATTTCTTTTAGGCCTTGAACTATATCCTCCCTTAATGGGTTTGCCTCTGGATCTGTTGGGAAGAAATTCATTCTATTCTGGACCTCATTTTGAGTGTCATGAATGTACAATTGTGCAAACTTGGGACGATCGCCTTCAGCCGGAACTAACCCGCCCATACGATGATATATCTTACCAGATATTGAGAACACGTATACCCCACGACCGTCATTAATTGATTTGTTTATCTTACCTCCAAGGGATATGAAGCTAAAGACTCCATTGTAGGGTCGGATGAATTCTTGAAAATGGCGGGCATCTGAATTGGTTGACTCCAATAGGTGTCGGAGAAATTTTGGAGGCTCATCGCGAGGAGGCAATTTGATCTTCCCAGCTTTGCAACATAGTGAGAATTGAGGAGTCAAGCGGCTCCTAGTTCTGTAAATGCTTTCTTCTCTCCACATAAGAGCTCCACAAAAGTCACATATGCATGTCGGTTCCCCAATAGTAAAGGGCTGGACATATGGGTATCCTAGGTTGATACATAAAATCATATTAGCACACCAAACATTTGCAAGAGAAAATAAAATAGCTACAGATTTCATAGATATGAATACCACGATGACGATAGAAGGGTCTAGGAATGCCTCTAGTTTTTCGTTTCTGACACAGGCTAATACGACGTAAGATTCGAGCTTGTTTCGATCGTAGTCGAGGGACAAAGATTTCACTTGTTTCAAAATCTACAGATAATAAATAAGAAAGGTCAATAACATCATTATATGGATGTGTTAGCCGATTATAAAAACAATAACAGTTGAAATATAATAATTACAAATGGTTTTTTGGTGTTTCATTGGAGAGCTTGCTAAGTGGCGTCGTGCCAAAGCATTATGAGCAAGCATGCGCGTAACTTCTTTTAGTTCGACATTCAGAGATTTGATAGCTGCAAGTAATAAAGTTGGTTAATATCATAAGGAATTCAATTGATTATGGCAAAATTTTAGAATTTTGTTACCTTTAGAAAGTCTTTTACGGTCGACATCAATTTGATCTCCAGTTGGTGGGTGAGGTTGCCGCAAAATTGCTCTTCCCTTCCCTATATAAATCATGCAAAATAAAAGTATATTACTCAAGGTAAGGCTATCAAAACCTCGTATAAGCTTTGGAGGGTGAGAGAGAGAGAGAGAGAGAGAGAGAGAGAGAGAGAGAGAGAGAGAGAGAGAGCTGTAGTTAGGTTTAAATATGGAACCTGCGAGCGTATTGTTGTTCTGGGATCGCTTAAAGAGGTACACGCACGGACTGGTCTTATTAGGTACGGTGCTGGGCTCATTGGTTTGTTCTCAAATGGGGTTAATAAGTTTAATGGGTTAATAAATCCAAGGATGAGAGATGGACTACGTTGATATGCATGTAAATTCATAAGTGGAATTTTATATACACCTCATGTCTTCCCTGCCAATGGGTAGCAACAGTGGACGTAAGAAATAGGAAATTCATCTAGAAAGTGAGATCACATGTTGATTGAAGTGGGTTGTGCAGTGGGAACTTTAGATTGGGAGAAGATCATAAACCACACGCGAGATTGATATGTACTGTAGTGGTGGTTTTCCATGGAAACTAAGAACTTATAATGGTTCTAGGGTGTTGGAGCGGGCAAGAAGTTTACAAGATGCAGACACAATAGATGAGTGGTCCACTAAATATCCAAGTTTATTCACTCGTACAAGGTGAGTGTAAAGAGGGTAAATTCTACGCCTTACGTATTCTTTTAAGTATTATGAATTTAAGTATTTTAGAGAATTGGTTACCGTTGCTTGATTATGTGTATGATTGATTATTTGTGCTTTGCTTGAGTTATGGTTTGAGGTGATTTTGTGCTATATGATGTGATTTGAGATGATTTTGTGCTATTTACCTTAAAGTGTTATGTTTAATTTATTGTTAAGTTTAAGAATAAAGTTCTTTTAAAGAAGTAACTCACCTTCAAGAAGGTGAAGTCATTTTTAAGTGTTTTTGGTCACTAGCGCAGTCCGTTGCCTTTTGAGACATTTTCGAGGTGGTGAAGAGCCACCACGATAAGTTTAAGATGTTAGGGGGATGAATTGTTACGACTCCCCTAACTAAGTTTAAGTTTAAGGAAAGCCTAGATGGCTTCTCATGCGTATGAGTTGGCAGCCAGACTAGTTAGTGAGGGATCCCAGTGTCAGTCAAATATGTAAGTCGAGATTTGAGCTGAAAGAGAGGAGAGTAACTTCAACTCCCTCAAAGTTTAAGAGTTAAGATTTTAAGATTGGAAGTACAAACAACTTCCACTAGTCAAAGTTAAGTGTTTAAGTAAAGTACTCAAGTATTAGAATTATTAAAACGTAAGGGTGTAGACTGACCCCATCTCACTCACCAGGACTTAGTAAGGGAATGAGCGAGAACTAGATCGATAGTTGCAGTTAGAGGAGCAGTTAGTGAGCAGCGGGATCGAGAAAGCTGTTCGAGGCAAGCCAGCTAGATGAGGATAGTACAAGCGTCACTGAAGGTGCCAGAGATCGAATACGAGCAGACAACAAAGTAGAGTTTTAGTTATTGCTTTATGATTATGAGTAAAGACTGGAGATTCATATTAAGATTTTATGATTGACTTTCACCCAAGTGTTAGGACTTTGTTTTAAGTAATTGCTGTTTATTCTCAGTATTGGTTAAAGTTATTTATGAAAAAATTTACTATTTTTCCAAGTATTTTTTTTGTTCATAATTGTTTCATGATTTATCATGGGTATTTTGGTAAAAGTAGTACCCGGCTTGGTTAGGGTGTTATAAAGAGAGAAGCAAATACTATCTAATAAATCTCACATATAATTGTATTCATTGAAACATTTTGATCTCTGGCGGCTGGGTTTTTTCAGAGTTGATGATGAAGGTGTTGGGGGGTTACTAATCAGATTTGATGATGATGATGATGATGGTCTATTAAATAGTATGTTTTCAATTTCACAAAAATCATAAAGTGAGGGTCTTAAGCAACGCGTAAAAGATATAAGGTATTAACAGGTTTTTCGTAAATAAAAAAAGATATAAGGTATTATAATACAATACATAATGGTAAAAATTGTTGCAGGATTATAGGGGGCGTATAATTAATTAAGAGGAGTGCTCCGTTAGAAGACTTCAACAACAAATTTTAGAGACGTACCCGAGAAGCAAAAGCTCTAGGAACGGACAATCTGCGCGTTCGAAGAATGATAGGTCGGAGCAAGCCTGAAAAAGGATGGGCATGTTTAAATACAGATGTATCGGTGGCGTTATCACAGCTCAGTTCGGCTGCGGGTGGCCTGGTTCGCAATGATGAGGGACGTTTTCTGGGGGGGTTTCGCTATGAACATAGGAGGAGGGTCAATTACAAGGGTTGAGCTGCTCGGGGTTGTGTATCGGTTGAGATGTGCTTGGGATCTTGGTGTAAGGAAGGTGGTGATACAAACGGATTCGAGAACGGCAGTTGACTTGATCGGATAGGCGTTGCGGTGGGTTTCCACTACTCCTATCGGTTAAGAAATGTGGTGGCGGCAACGGGTCATGCTCTTGCGGTGGGCGTCCACTCAATTGCGTCTCCAAGTCCATCCCTTTGCTACTGGTTGATGTACGATTTAGTTGGGAGTCAATCTCCCAGACTTGTTCTTGAGTAAGGATTAGGCGCCCTTAGCGTCCTCTTGTTACCAAAAAAAAATTAAGAGGGTTGATAAGTAATTATAACTACTAAAAATATATAAATTAATTATAATTAATAGTAATCGTTAGATTAGATCAATGGTGTATAGAATCTATCGCATGCTATGCGTCAGGAGCATACGAGTCATATCCATAATAATAATATTTATTATAATAATAATTATTATTATTCCTAATCCGCGATTGCAACCCTTCGTCCATAATCGTCAATCCAAGCATTCATTTATTATGGTCGAACCTGACCCCAAAAGTCGGGGTGTTACATAACTTGCTACAAATTTTCCATATAAGGTAATGTCGATGTAATTATTGCTAATATCAAGCTTAGGGGGAGAATGTTTGGAGAGAAAGCTTTTCATTAGCAAAACAGTTCAATGTTTGTGTTGCAACTATTGAGTTGATCCAGTTCGGTACACATGACAACAAGCGAACGTTTTAAAATTGTTAGAAACCGAATATAAAAATAGGGTTACCAAATCTGGCTGAGTCGCGGACTAGGTCGCTCTGAGCCTCTAGGATAAAACAGCCACTCTGATTTTGTTGCTCATCGGTTTTGTACGAAAACCGAAGCTCCATGAACTCACTCTCTCTCATGTTTTTGCTCTTCTCGAGGTGTGTTCAGAGGGTCTGGGGAGTGCTCTAATTATAGGAGCAAAACCCTAGAATATGTCTTCTTTCGTGGGGAATAAGTCGCACTTAATTAGGAAGATAATTATTCCCATAATTAAAATACGTTCTATTAAGATAATTAACTCTAATTATCTTCGTAATATTCCTCTTATTCATTATCCTTCTTATTTTCGTATATGGAAATATACTGGATAATTAATTAGGAATTTCATTTATAGCTTTTCAAAACTATTCATCCCAAGTCCGAACACCTTTAAACATATAATAATAATTTAAAATGTGAACATTGCACTGCATAGTCGTATATGGAAATATACTGGATAATTAATTAGGAATTTCATTTATAACTTTTCAAAACTATTCATCCCAAGTCTGAACACCTTTAAACATATAATAATAATTTAAAATGTGAACATTGCACTGCATAGTCTTTACTTTTGACGTACTTGTAAATGTTTGGGGCTTTTGAATTCGCAGGTGGCAAGCAAAGGTGTGGACGTCGGGATTAGTGGTGGGGTCCGTGGGGAACATATGCCTGACGGCACTCTTCTTCCCGGTGGTGCGTCGGTCGTCGGTATTGCTGCTGTTTGGGCTGACAGCGGAGGGGAGCATAAAGGAACCCGGATATTGTCCACCACTTGGCTTTTGGAGAATGGATCAGCCAACGGCCCAGGTCTACTGCACACAAAACGAACGTATTGGATCCGTTGCTCGCATTAGTTAGTGGACTGTGAGACCGAATGACTGAACGGTTGTACCATGTGTCTGATTTGTCTCCCCACGCGCCAGAGAAAGAGGGAGATTCAAATGTCTATTGTTTCCCAGATTTTGAAACTGAAACATTCTTTTAGAATTTCTAATTTCAATCCCTATTTTCTGAAATTTGAACCAAATCCAAAATTCGAAATTTGAAACCAAAATTCGAATTTTGAGCGACTGACGATAAGTTTTAGATTTCCCTGATTCACTACATCCCTTCGCCCTCCCTGTCTCCCTACCCCATGTTTCTCTCCATCTCATGTAGATCTTTGATCTTCCTCCGCTTCGCCGTCCGCCTCTACACTGTCGCCTCGTTCTCTCTACCTCTACCTCTTGTCTCCCGACATCCCATGGAGATCCTCATCCGCTCTGCCCTCTCTCCAGTCGTTGTTGGTCCGACAAGACTACTAGACGCGGCCCATATCATCTACCCTCCACCATATGTATATCTCGAATATTCAGGTAATTCATCCCCAAAACCTGATCTAGCAAGGCAGATGTTATATTCCCCGATTTATGTGCTTGATTTCTTAAAATATTCTGCCTTTTCGTCTTCTCAATTTAATATGTTTGGAATGATCTTCTCTGAAAACAAAAACCTTGGATGCTACCCTAAATTTAACATTTAATATATTCAAAATATATTTGAATGTCCGTTGGAATACATTTTCGTCTTTATATTGTCATATTTAGGTATCATGTTTGTCATTGTGTTGAATGTAAATATGATGTAAGAACATCATATTCCCATAGTTTTGTTTCACCAATCCATTTGATGCAATATGTTCTTAATATGTTACATTAGATTTTAATCTATGACCCTTTGTTAGATGTGTATCTGAAAAACAATTTTTTAGAGTTTCTGCTAATTTAATCGTTATTCTTTTAATCGTCTCTTATTTGTGTTCCTTGTTGTTTGTGAACATGTTTAAAGAATTATCTTACCTCTTTTCAGGACAGACATCTGTCATGTTTTGCAGGTTTGAATATAGAAGAAGAGTAATTGTTTGAGTTATGTTCTACGGAGAAGATATGTATGGACAATTACCAAATAACTTAATTTTTCATTAGTTATCCTGATTATGTATGTTTCATACTCATTCTTGTAAAGTACCGAATGTTCTAATCCATTGTTTATTATTCAGGAATCTTGGTTTGTGGATTTATCTTGTCTGTTGTAATTAAGTTATTGTAATTCCGGATAATGTTGAATTTTCCATCGATTTTAGAGACTTTGTATATATTAGTTATTATTTGAATCATTCGATTGAAGCATGGTTTGTGTTTCAGGAAACTGGTTCTCTACTAGTTTGAAGGACGAGAGTATTCATCACTTGTCCATTTGCTGAACACGTTTATACATAAATCATGTTTTTGCTTCAAAAGGAATACTGTTAATAGTAATGGCTGTGACACTTAGTAGATCAGATCAAATTGTTATAATTGTCAAAATGCACAGACTTATAGTCAAAAGTAAATATGTTCAAAATGATGGTTAAACTTGCGAGTGCTACAATGCAACATTGCATGGCTAACCTACAAACCCATGAGAAAGCATGATAGCAATATGGCCCATAGTATGGGCAATGTCAACCTTTTCCAATCAAAATGTCCCCAAAGTGGACATGTGAAACTAGTCCACTTAGTTTCTGGAGTAGTTTGTTACTTCTTCTTTTCACTGATGACCTTTGCTCTTAGGTCATAGCTTCCTTTGTCTCTGCCTTTGAGTAAAGGTCTGGAAACAAGATGTTTTGCTCATGCATCAAGATCCTTGCCGCAATTCGTGCTCGTATGAAGTTTGGTTGGTTTCGATCTTCCCACAATTTTTTTTGCTCTTCTGTGTAGTGTACTTCATATTGTTCCATGAAGTTGCAGCAGAACACACCGCAGTTGTGGGTATCTTGCTGCTGTGGACAATCTGAAACTTCCCATTCAAAGCTTTCAAAACTCTCCTTTCCATTAAGTTTTTTGATGAAGGTGGTCCCGTAGGAATAACCCTCTGACCGAGTGTTTGGCATTTGGTTTCGAGACTATGTTTGCATGCCATGCTGTCCAAGCACACATACTTCCGTCTTGCTACGTCAATAGCGAAGCAGAAATAGTGTTTGTCAATATGCATCGGGAAGAAGAACTAAAGCAAGGTATCAAGGACGGGTTAGAGTCATGTTCATAGCTAGTTAGTAATATCTGACAAGGCAACATGGTTTCTCATAGTGTACTCACATATGCACAGTCAGTGAAGTCCACCTCGGTCAAGGACGGGTTACATTTGAATCGTTTCATCATTCTCTCACAATGCTTTGCTAGAAGTGGCTCGTCAGAGATGGCCCCACTTTCCAAGTCTTTCCTTGCATGATCCTGTAGAGAAATACAGAGGTTGTTGAATGATTTAAGTTTTAATCTAAAGTTTAGTTAATTTGGATTAAATTTGTACAGTTTCCTACGGCTACAAATGTATCGAAACAGTATCTCGTGATTTTTTTGTTTGCTGCCACATTGTTGCAGTCCAGCCAGTGGGCATAGGCATTGATGAGATTTGTGCACAATTTTTTTTCAACCTCAGATGATGCAGCTCCCACTTCATGACAGTTGACATTGCGGACTTATGCATAGCTACATCTCTTGGAAGGGCGTTCATTTGTAAGAAGGGTTAGCATTTGACAACTGCGAATTAATCCTTGCACATATCAACAAATAGTACTGCCACTGACCGTTCTTGTTCAAAGTCTGACAAAGCAAACTCGACCAAAAGAACTTCTTCACTAGTCATCCTACTCTTTGTTTTCCTCGGCAACCTGTATTCCACTCGACGCCATCTTCCAATCCTACTATCCCCCTCGAACTTGTAATCTTCCATGCCTTGTCCATTTTTTTTATATGTCTCGACATCAACCATTTTTACTTGACCTGAAATGCCAAAAGTTCTCGAAAAGAAAACAGAGTCTAACATAACATTCCCATGTTCCTGTCCTAATGTGATAAAGTGTATATCTTACACACAATTGAGGTTGGTCGAAAATTTAACCTGTTTGATCGTTTGTAAAATCTGAAGTATGTACCCCATTGGCAGGCTTCTCGAAAATGTTCTGGCACTTTACTTCAGCATCTTCATCGTCTTGAGCCTTTGGAGGATCCTGATGGGCTAACTTGTCGTCATTTTTCTTCTCCTTATTGTTCTCTAATTTTTGGCAGCCCTTTTCTCCTTCATGCCCCTCTTCCGCAATGCTTACCCTTTGGTGAACATCCCCACTAACGTGGTCTTTTCAGTCATTTTGGCAATGCACATTGACAACATTTGTTAGT